TTACTATGTTAAAGTTAAAGCCTTTCTTTTTTGTTTAAACAGAAAAAGGGGAAATGATGGAGGTGGGTCTTGTAATAATAAAGAAACTGCCTCGGCCCTCATAGGACAGAAAATTAGGTAGGCGGAGTAGACAGAAGAGAATTCTGGGAAAAGGAAGCTGAGTGAGAGAGTCGCCATGATGCTCCCACGCCAGACAGATGCAGGTTAAGATCCTCCCTGGTAAGCCAGCTCGTGGGCTACACAGAATATTAGAAATGGGTTAGAACAATATGTAAGAGCTAGCCAATAAGAAGATGGACCTAGCCGGGCCAGGCAGTGTTTGAAAGAATACAGTTTCCTTGTAATTATTTTGGGGCATAAGCTAGCCATGCGGGCGGCCGGGTGCCGGGGACGCAGCCTTGCCGCTCCTAATGCAACAGATGTGTGCATATACTGCATGTGTGTATGTACATGCATGTATACATATGTGTTTGTTTAAATGTGTGTGCATATATGTTTTTGTATATGCATGCACAAGTGTATATTACATATGTGTGCATGTATGTGTCTACATAGGTATAGTATGTGTGCATATTCCTGTGTGTTTTTATGTATGTGTATATATTTTTCCCTTTCTCAAGTAGTAAAAGGAAAAGGCAATTAGACTTTGGCTGACAAAATAGCTTAGCAAGTAAAAGTGCCTGCTGCTACCAGATGGTGCAAAGTCAATCCCCAGGACACACATGGTGGGAGTGAAGAATTGACACCCCCAAGTTAATCACAGACCTCCACACTTGGGCTGTGACACACAATCAATCAATAAGTAAATGTGATTTTTTTTATTTTGAAAGAAAGAAAGAAGAAAAGAAAAGAAAAGAAAATTAAACTCAAATCTTTGTTGCTGGAAAAAGAAAACCAAAGCTGTAAGAAGCTGCTCAAGGAAAGTAGAACTCCTTATCACTAGAACAGCGAGCGGTTCTAGACCTGTGGGGCCGCATATCAGAAATTCACACCAAGATTCATTACAGTAGCAAAATTATGGCTATGAAGTAGTAACGAGATAATTTATGATTGGGTGTCAGCACAACATGAAGAACTGTATTAAAGGGTTGTAGCATTGGGAATGCTGGGAACCACTGCCCTAGAGCATAGCAGGACTTTCTCAGCTGTGACTTCTATAGAGGGCACTAAGCCATACGGGTGGCCATATCTTTGACACAGTGCTAATAATGTCAGGCAATTATCA